CCTAGGATGACTGTGAGAACTCTCTGTAGTGTCCAGCCCCGAGGCAGGGAGTGCCCTGGGAACACACACGTCTGCATCCCCACTCAGAAGCCACCGTCATCAGAGCTAGTGTTTGTTGGGCATCTCTAAGCCCTTTGCGTGGATCAGCTCAATCCTCACTGCGGAGGAAACTGAGGCCACAAAGAGGCTAAGAAACTCACCCAGGGTCTTTTGTCCCCTGCTGTGTTCCCAGTTAGTTTGTGGCCTAAGAAAACCATACAGAGCGATATGCTTCAAAAACGCTACACATAAATCAAGATGGAATCCTAAAAAATGCTCAAATAACCTGCAAGAAAGTAAGACAAATGGAGGAAACAGAAAATGGGCAATAAAATGGCAGATTTAAATCCGTCTGAAGGGCAGGCTGTAGCGCACAAGCAGAGCGGGCAAGAGGCAGGTGTCTGCTGTTGACTCTGGAGAGGGGTGGGCAGGGCCAGTGGCTGAGGGTGGTGGCTGTGGCCAGGCCTGAGTCTGAAGCCCCCGGCAAGGGCAGGAGCTTGCATGGAGCAGGAAGGCGGCCTGGCTCTTTCGGCTGCTTTGAGAAGTTTGGCCTGGTCAGGTGGAGCATTTTGAAAGGCCTGAGTGAATCTCTCAGTCTGCGCGTATGGAGCGCTTACGGCGGATTGGATGAGACTGCTGAGCAACCAGGAGGGAGGATTCGGACAGGGCTGCAGCCCTGGGCCTGCTGCAGCGCAACAGAGGACAGCGTTCCGCGTCGCCTCCGCCCACTCCAGCTGAGGGCTGGAGGCAGATCGGGGGTCAGAGGTCCTGCTCAGCTGCGAGACCTTAAGCAAGACACTTCCTCTCTCTGGCCCAAAGTTGCCTAGTCTGTAGAATGCAGCAGTGACTCCTGCCTCCTGGCTTAGGGGTGACAGTGGCATCCAGTGGATCTTGGGTGTGGCCTGCCCTGGTCTGGCCTAGTGCCCAGCCTGAGCTGGGTACCCTCAGGGTATGCAGGTCCCTGTCCTTTGTCTCACCTGGAGCTGCCATTCCATCTCCCCTTCATCCCATAGCCCTGTCCCACCCTTGAGCTGTTGCACCAAGGGCTGGTGGCCAGGCACGCCAGGGCCTGACTGGGAAGGAACAGGAATGCACATTTCAGCTACTAGCCGGCCATTCTGCCAGCGCCCCCGACGGCCGCCAAGTCCTCGTGTATTGAATGCTCACGAGCACCAGGCTTTTCAGTTACATCTCATTTGTCACATAGGGGGAAAGTGTTTTGACACAGAGTTTGGATTCAGCTTCTCCACTGATTAGCTGTGTGACTTGGGACAAGTCATTTCCCTTTCTGAGCCTGTCTCATCTATCAAATGGGCACGACCATCAGTGACAAGATGGTGTTGATGATGGGGTTCTGCACGGAAAGGGACTAGAACAAAACAGATACTTCTAACTCAGCTAAACCCCATCACCTTTAGCCCCAGAAGTGCCATTTCTGACCCAGAGCTCTTCCCACTTTGCAGACCAGGGGGACCTCTAGTTAGTGGCAGTTTCCTCAGGGCATTCCTGATGGCTTGGGAAAAGGAGAATAACAGATTTAATTCACTCTCAGTAACTGGCAGCATCGTGTTTTTATCTGGGCTGCGTCGCCATGGCAGCCTCATGGCAGGGTTGTGGAGGGGGCGGGCAGAGCTATTGTTCCTGCCATTGTCTGTTCTGGAACGGCAGGCCCAGGAGAAAGGGACTGGCACGGGCACCAAGTGGCACATGGCTGAAGGCAGCTGTGGAGTCAGACAGGAGCCATCTGGGGAGAAGTGTGGGGTGGCCCATGGCCTGGCTTCCCCCCAACTTGGGGCTCAGGCTCACTGTGGCCCCCAAAGCAGAGTGTGTGTGTCTTGGGCATACCTGGGGTAGGAGGGTCCATGGGGCCCCTGGAATAGGCCCATAAAGTAGCCCAGGCAGCTGCACGCCCGCACCCCACTCAGGCTAAGGTTTTGTGGCCAGGCCTGGGTTCAAATTACGGCTCTGCCACCTGCCATCTACACAGCCAATTGCTCCCCCCCTACCCCGTTCCTCATCTGGAAAATAGGAATCATTACAGTTACCCCAAAGGGTTGCGTGTTAAAGCCCCTGGGTGTAAGGCATGCAGGAAGGGCTCATCTGTGTTCTGTGGGGGTGGGGAGCAGTTGCCTGCTGCCCTTCGCTCCTGAGCCAGGGCACCCTCCTACATACCTCTTAGGGTGCCAGCTCTCAGCCCAGCTGTGGAGAGGAGGAGGAACTAGAGCTGCCCATCTGGAGTGAATGCAGGACCAGGCTTCCGAGTCTCATCTAGATTTCCTCCCCGCTGCAGAGAGGGAAAGGAAGCCCGGCCTGGAGCTAGAGCGGCAGAGCCAAGAGGGGCTGCGCATGGCTAGGAGGCAGGGAAGCGGAGTTGGAGCAGGCCCACGCCCGGCGCGCCAAGCGCGGACAAAGGCAGGGCCCGGGGCCCGCGTGGCACGCAGCAGCAGTCGGAGCCATCGGCCCGAGTCCCCTGGGAGAGCGGCGGAGAGCGCGGTGCGGCGCAGGCCTGGATGTTCCATGCTTTGGGCAGCAGGGACTGCTGGGCGTGCGCGCAGGGCGCCGGGTGGGCTGCTTGCGGGCCTCTAGGAGGTGCGCCACCCTTTCCCCGTCGCCAAGCAACCGCGCCGAGACTCCTCTTCAGCTCCCTGGTTCCTACAAGCCTCTGAAATCTTTTGGGACCTGGGGTACCTCGTGCCCGGGGGTTGCGGGTGGCGAATCTGTCGTGCGGGCTCAGAGCCCGAGCCCGGCCTTTGCGTGCCCCCTGCTGGCCTGCCTTTGGTCCCCTCCGCAGCAAGGCTCAGCGGCGGCCGCCAGGTCTCAGATCCGGGGAAACCCTACTGGGGAAACCTCGCGGCATGACGTCATCCTCGGTGACGTCACCATGCCCCCGGGGAATGCGGGGGTTCCCACAGAAGAGGCTTCCCCCGGCCTGCGCAGGGCTCGGGCGCGGGCCGGGAAGTCGTCTCGGGCCGCGGCGCGCCTTCACTGCGCATTGTCTGCCCCACAGGTCCAGCGCGGCCCCGGGTGAGGCACGCCCGCGCGCCCGCCGGCGCCATGGGAAGGAGCGGGCGCAGCTGCTGTCCCCCGCCGGCGCGCGCACGACGTGAGCCCAGCCACGGGCAGCCCCCGGCCGCAGGCCCCCGAGTGACGCTGGCGGCACCTGGGAGCGTGGCGCGGGCCCGGGGCCACGCAGAGGAGCCCAGTGTCCAGTGAAGCAGCCGAGGACCCGCCGCCGCCATGGTGATGTCCCAGGGCACCTACACGTTCCTCACGTGCTTCGCCGGCTTCTGGCTCATCTGGGGTCTCATCGTTCTGCTCTGCTGCTTCTGCAGCTTCCTGCGCCGCCGCCTCAAACGGCGGCAGGAGGAACGCCTGCGCGAGCAGAACCTGCGCGCCCTGGAGCTGGAGCCCCTCGACTTGGAGGGCAGCCTGGCCGGGAGCCCCCCCGGCCTGGCGCCGCCGCCGCCGCCGCCACCGCCGCCGCCGCCACACCGCAGCCGCTTGGAGGCGCCGGCGCACGCGCATTCGCACGTGCACGTGCACCCGCTGCTGCACCACGGGCCCGCGCAGCCGCACGCGCACGCGCACCACCACGCGCTCCCGCACCCGCCGCCGCCGCTGCCGCCGCACCTCTCCGTGCCGCCGCGGCCCTGGAGCTACCCGCGCCAAAGTGAGTACGGGCCTGGCTAGAGGCGGGCGTGATGCCGGGGCGGCGGGGCCTCGGCAGGGGTGGGCTCGCTGCCTGCCTCCCGCAGAGCCGAGGAGAAGGCCGGGGCCTTCGCGGGAGTCGGGGCCCGGTGGCCTTACCTCCCGGGCCGCTTCCCATTCATTCCACAGCGGAATCGGACATGTCCAAGCCACCGTGTTACGAGGAGGCGGTGCTGATGGCCGAGCCGCCGCCGCCCTACAGCGAGGTGCTCACGGACACGCGCGGCCTCTACCGCAAGATCGTCACGCCGTTTCTGAGCCGCCGCGACAGCGCGGAGAAACAGGAGCAGCCGCCGCCCAGCTACAAGCCGCTCTTCCTGGACCGGGGCTACACCTCGGCGCTGCACCTGCCCAGCGCTCCGCGGCCCGCGCCGCCCTGCCCCGCCCTGTGTCTGCAGGCCGAGCGCGGCCGCCGGGTCTTCCCCAGCTGGACCGACTCAGAGCTCAGCAGCCGCGAGCCCCTGGAGCACGGAGCTTGGCGCCTGCCGGTCTCCATCCCCTTGTTCGGGAGGACTACAGCCGTATAGAGGGGCGCCCGGCGTCCGGGCCCCACCGGCGCACTCCTGGCCTGACTGCGGGGCTTTTTAAATGCTTCCCTTGGACTGCGGGGTGGGGCGGGGGGAGGGAGGGATTTCTTACCCCGTTTGTTACATTTTGAGGATAATAAAGGTGTGTGATCTGGTTTGGTACAAGCGGAGGGGGCACCCACTGCTTGCGCCCAGCGTTCTGGTAACCAGACACGCTGGGGCCTTGGCGGGAAGGAACGTGAGCGCGTTCCCACTACAAGCTAGCCTGAAGAGACAACCGCCTTCCGGGACCGGGGCCGGTTGTCCTGGGATACCCGACCTCCGGCTGGCCTGCCTGTGCGATCGCGGCTAGGGCGCCCCCTGGCGACAGAGGTGCCGCTCCCTCTGCGGCCATAGAGGTGAGAAGAATTGGGAATGGGGACGGGGCGTGGCCCACACCAGATCAGTCCCTGGAGGCCCAGAGCAGCAGGCCCAAAGGGATCTGGACTTCTTTATTAACAGACATGAGCACGACCTGTTACAGAAGTTTGTGCTTTCCAAAAAAACAGTTAATGTGAAAAAGGAACCCAAGCAAAGAGAAAGGAGTTGGGGAGGCGCCCCATCCACAGACCCGACCTGAATCTCGCCTAGGGCCTCCAGCCTGGGACCTGCCCGGCAGGAGAGGGCGGGGTAGCCGAGGGGCCCCAGCTGGGCCTGCTACTTCCTTTGGGTCAGGCAGGGAGGGGGGGGGGTCCCAGGGAGCCAGAGCCCATGAGCCATTTATTGCCATGTTTTAAAATTCGTGCAAAATATCTGAAGCCCTGGACAGAGAATACAAATTGATTTTTTTTCCAAGAAACATAAAACTAGGAAAAGAAGTGGAGGGGCATTTTCCCACCAGAGCTCCCCCGACACCAGGCCCCAAGCAAAGTCTGCCCCCCGCCAGCTGAGCAGGAAGGACTAAGAGCTACAGTCTGGACCGGGCAGGAAGGGTGGAATTTTGCAACAGCGGCTCAACTACCAACGGGAGGAAAACCAGTCAACTGTACAAGTCTCCTATCAACTTTTAAAAAAAAGAGAGAAAAGCTGTAAAAGTCAGGCCCTGTGGGTAGGGAAGCGGCCAAGTCCTCGGCCATGGCCGGAATCCGGAGTAGGTGCCAGGCGGAGCTGCTGCGAATGCAGGCACGGTGGGCCATCTGGCCAGAGGCAGCACGGGTGGGCGGCCTTGGCAAGGGCACCTAGGGCTGGCACCACCGCTAATCGCCACCCTCGAAGCCCTCCTCTTCTTCCGGTACTGGGTCTGCATCCCAGCAGGTGATGTCGATTTCTGTGGTGTTGGGAGAGGAGAGGGCTTAAGGAGATGGCCCAGCACATCCATGATTTTGTCCCCAACCTCTTGGAGCTGTGCCAGTAGTGTGTGTATATGGGGCTGTCTGCCCACACTCAAACCCAGACCACCACCCGAATTGCCCCCCAAACCCCCAGTACTACCTGGAGGCTTGTTGTAGAACACAGGAGGCGGAGCCTTTGCACACAGCTCTTCCGATTGGGCAAACTCCTCCTCCTGTGACTGACTGAAGTACCCCTCACTGGCCTGCAGGGGAAAGCACCAGGTCACTTGGCCCCACCCAGCAGGACTAGGACTGACCTATCAGGCCTGAGCCCATTTCCTCAGCAACCAATGATTCCATCAGTGGTTGCTAGGGAAACACAAACGCCTGCCTTGGGAACAAAAGCAGAGTTGGTCCAGGGAGGGGGAGTGGAATGAGCATCCCCCCAAATAATGTGGGTCACAGAGAGATGGGGTACTGTTGCAAGCTTGAGGAATGCAGAGCCAGCCCCCTGCTTAGCCCTGACTACCAGCCCTCCCCCAGGTTGCCCCTGCCCCACCTGGGTCCCCTCCTTCTGGGTGGTCTCGCCATTGGTCAGCAGGTGGGGTTCCGGCTCTGGCTCCTGCTCCAGCTCTCCGAAAGCTGAGGGCAGAGCTGGGGCCTGGGGGGCAACCAGGGGCTCCCCTTCTGCTTCCTCCTCTGGGTCACAGAAGGTAGCTGGCGGCTCAGGTAGCTCATCAAAATTGAGAAGGTTGGTACAACCTCCACCTACTGGCGGCAGGGGGTCCTGAGCCACCTCGTCCAGCAGGGGTACCTCTGCCAGGGTGACCTCAGTACCCGAGGATGGCGTGGGGGCCAGGGGCTCAGCCTGGAGTGCGGAGGCCCCTTCCCCATCACCAGGCCATAGGTTGATGAGGCTGGCAGTGGTGGGGGGCACATTGTTGGCAATAGTGGTGTCAGCAGTGGCAGCGGCAGATTCAGTGGTGTCAGCTGCATTGGCATCAGCCACCGAGGTGTCGACCACAGTGGTGTCAGCTGCGGCAGGCTCCACAGGGGCAGCTGCAACAGCCTGCTCTGGAGATTCCTCCAAGAATGCCAAGTCCTCCTCAGGCCTGCCTTGTCCCCGGGGGGGCACCTGTGCCTGAGGGGGCTCCTCCATGAGGCCAGCCCAGGCCTGAGGGGCTGCCGCTCTGGTCTCTTCACTGTCCAGGCTGGGGCTGGGCTCCTGGGTCTCTGTCACAGCACAGATGGAGGAGACAGATGCCAATTAGCTCCCTTGGGGAAGGATGGAGACCCTGGGCGGCCACCTACATACCCTGTCCACCCACTGAGGAGAGAGGAGTGGGGACTTCCACGCAGGGCTCCTCTCAGCACCAACCTGCACCCCAGCATCCCTTCACCTGGTGTCTTTACACCGCTCGGCAGCCCCTGGAGGGAGGGACTGCGGTTTAGAGTGCAGGTCTGCAAACCGGGGCTGCTCCCTGCCACAGACATTTCCAGGGCAGTACAGGCATGGTGATGGGTGGCCCAGATCCCTGGGGAGCTGTTACCATGGCAACTCGGGGTTCCCAGCCCAGGGGCTGATGGGAGGCCCGGTGCAGGTAGGGTCCCTCTCTCACCTTGGGCTGGCAGGGGCGGTGGCGGCAGTGGCGGAGGCTGTGAGGACGTGACCTCATCCAGGGCCCGTTCGACCTGCTCAGTGACAGGAGTGGAGGCTGCGCTTGAGTCGGACGGGCTCCGGGTGGGGATGGGGGTAGGCGCCATCCTCCGGTGGCTGTCCAGGTGGCTGCCTGTGGGAAAACCCCCAGGTTGGTCAGTGAGGGTGGGGGGGCCAGGTAGGACCAGGACTGTCCACCTGGGACCTGGCCAACACCTCCTCTCTGGAGTCTGGGTGGGGGCTGGGAGCTCCCCAGGCCTCCCAGGGGCCAGACTACAGCTCCAGGCCCTATAAGCCAGGCCCCTGGGGGCCAGCGCCCCATAGGGCCAAGGGTAAGAGGCAGGTAGTACCTGCTCTGGGGGACAAACACCAGAGATCAGCAGTCAGGCTAGGGGAGTGAGGGCGGGGGGCTGCTGGGAAGCGGGGCCCTCCTTACCCCCCGCCGAGGCCTGGGGCTGCTACCTACATGGGAGGGAGGAAGAGAGGTTTGGGGTGCGGTGACAGGTGATATAGGGAAAGGGAGTCCGTGGAGGGGAGGAGGAGGAAGAGGAGGAGGAGGAAGGCCCACTGTCCGATGCCTTTATGAAAGGGCAGTACGGACGACCTGCCGAGAGAGACAGACAGAGAGAGAGACAGAGGACAAGAGAGGGTCAGTCTCCCCCACCCCCGCCCGAGGCCTCACCCGCCCCCAGGGCCGGCCCTGGATGTCCAAGCTGCCTCCAGCCAGGGTGCACATTCAGCCAAGCCCAGCAGCAAACACACAGCAAGGAGCCTGCTACACACCGCCAGCCTCTAAGCAGAGCACGACCAGGACAGCCTGCACACTCAGGGCCAAGCAAACTAGACCGGCAGACGCGGGCACGAGTGTGCGAGAGTGTTGGCGCGGAGCACAGGGAGGGGCCGAACACGGAGCCCAGGTGCAGGATCCAGGCTGCTCAGACTCAGCCAGGGTGAGAACCCAGCCCACATGCACCCCCAACCCTTTAGGCCAGACCTAGTTCACCCCAGCACGGCTGCTCCCTGCGGCTGGCAGTGTGCCTCAGCCTGAGCCAGAGCTGCCCAGTTGGCCCTGGCAGTGCCCATTGCTCAGCCAAGGCCCAACATCAACACTGCCCCCGGCCCTTCTCGGGGTCCTGCCACCTGGGAAGCGGTGGGTGGAAGCACGTTGGATGGAGGGTCTCGCCTTCTCCAAGGAGTCCCTGGGCAAGGCTTCCCTTCCAAGAAAGTGTCCCAGAGAGGCTCGGAGCCAGGACCTGAGGAGGAGGGGTCAGGTGGGGGTGAGGCCTGGGACTACCTGGCCGGTGGTTGAAGGGCAAGGGCACGTCACAGCTGCCCGCGGAGGCCGATGCGACTCGTTCCTGCTGCTTGAAGAACTCCCGGGGGTTGTCAGGCCGCTGGGCTATAATGGCTGCTGCCTCCTGAGGGCACAAGGATTGGTGCTGGGCTGGGCAGGGCCCAGCTAGGGCAGCCCCCGCCTGCCTCACCCGTCCTGTGCCCCCACCTCTCACCTCCACCTCCGATTCCGACTTCTTCATCTGGGTTTCTTCCTCATCCCGCTGGTCACCCTGGAAACCAAAGGGACAGTGTCCTGGGCACCCACCCCGCAGGGACTCTCGGCCTTCTTACAGCCTGCATGTTTCTTCCACGATCTGGCAGGAAGGGTCTCAGAGGCAGCACTCCTGCTCCCCCCCACCACCCAGGCACACAGCCCCTCTCCCCACCCTGCAGGCCCTTGGCCACCTCATCTCCAGGCTGGCCAGGTCCTGGACACCCAGCTCCCGCACCTGCTTGCTCCCTGCTGCATCCCTCAAACAGGCGCCCAGGGCCACCCAGGAGTACACCTTGCTTTGAAGCTAACTTTTCTCAGACCTCCTAGCCCTGTACCAGGGTCACCACGCTCCTATCAGTGCCTCCTGGACTCTGGCATCATGGGCCAGGGTCCTCACTGGTCCCGGCCTCCCTGCTCTCCCCACTAAGCTCCCTTGTATGGGCCCTAAAAGAACCTTCCCAAAATCCAGATCAGACCATGGTTTTCCCGAGCTTAAAGCCCGCAGGGCTTCCCATGAGCCACAGCAAGTGCTGGCTGAGTATGACCCACAGATGGCTTTTGTTTTGCTGGGATGATATTTTTAAACTATGTTAATTAGTTGCCACTACTTAAAAATCAGGAACTCTGATACTGAAATTGGGATCCCAGTTTCTCTTAAAACGCCACAGGCCCTGGCAACACTACCCGCATGCCCCAAAAGCAGCTGTGGGCCAGGGTGGCGCTGCAGCTGCCTGACACTGCAGCCCCCACCACGCCCCACTGGGCTTCACGTGCCGGCTTCACATCACACAGCGTTGCGGGACTGCAACCCCAGGGTGCGAGTAGGCAGGCCCCTGGCCAGGCATGCATTCCCCTCCCCCCTCCTGACCTAGCCCCTGCCCCACCCCGACTCGCCCCACTCTGATGTGGATGTCAAGTCCTCAGCTCCAGCTCCGTGCAGTCACAGCTCCCGGAACAGGCGTGCCCTTGCCCACCTCTGTGCCTTGGCATGGCAGACCACCTCTCTCTCCGCTCAGCCGGACTCCCACCCCACATCCTGCCCTCTGGTTCCAGCCTCAGCCTGGGCACTGCCTCCTGGGTGTTCCTGGCACCTACCACAGATTACGACACATCGCAATTTCCTGTTTCTGGGGTCATCTCCCCCACCCCCTGTGAGTGACACAGGATGAGGACCTGGGTCTGTGTGAGTGGCCAGCACAAGGTTGGCACGTTTGTTCAACTGACTCACTACACCAAAGACCTCCTACTCGGCATCCCTGTTGCTCACGTGGCAGATGAGGCACGTGGGACTGCCGAGCGAGGAGACGCTACAGGTGAGGTGGTGACAGAACAGGGCTTCTTTGTTTCTGAGCACACAACCTAGAACTTGAACTTAGCGTCAGAGTGCACCAGAAAGGCCCTTCATGTAACAGTACCCCCTCGAGAGGGCTGTCACTTCAACAGTAACTCTGTGTCTCCCAGGATGAAGTGCCAGCTTCCCTCCCTTCCCTACCAAATGCCCTCCTCAGCCCACTGGGCTCCAGTCTGGCCCTCCCATAAACACATGTGCATCCAACCAGCCTTTGGTACTCTGCCCCTGCCTACTGTAACCTCACTAGGCTCCTCTGCCTTGTTCCAAAAAAGGACCAGGCAGGACACAGGGGCTCACACTTGTAATCCCAGCACTCTGAGAGACCGAGGCAGGAGGATCACCTGCGGCCAGAAGTTCAAGACCATCTCAAAAAAAAAAAAAAAAGGACCAGAGGCAGCTTACCACAAAGGCTTTACTGTCACCCATGTGAATAACACTGAAACAAGGGCTATGGGTAAGAGAGATCAACACACTAACTGTAAGGGTCAAGAGCACTGCTGTGCGTAAGCATTTTCAGATACATGGGAGCTCCCTGGCAGCCCAGGCAAAAAGATAACCCAGACAAGGAACACAATTCTTATTAACAGGGGAGAGAAAGCAGAATAGCTGCTTAAACCATGAGAGACCATTTTATGGTGCTAAATCTCAAAGTTTCTCACATGGGAGCTTCCGTAGAAAACCTGAAGTTACAAGGCCACCACACTGACTTGGAATGTCCACTGTCACTGTCACGTAAGAGAAACTGGGATCTCACATTGACAGGCCAGATGGGACTACAACATAATGGTGTGAACCCCTCAAACTTTGCCTGAAATGTTGATAATTGGTGGAAATGAGCAATTAGTTCAGTGGTTCACTATATTATTCTACCTGTATGTGTATACGTGTGTGTGTGTGTTTGAAATTTTAGCATAAGCTTTTTCAAAAAACCTTGAAATGGGCCGGGCATGGTGGCTCACACCTGTAATCCTAGGAACTCTGGGAAGCCGAGGTGCGAGGATAGCTTGAGGTCAGGAGTTTGAGATCAGCCTGAGCAAGAGCGAGACCCTGTCTCTACTAAAAATAGAAAAAAGTAGCCAGCCGACTAAAATTAGAAACAAAAAAATTAGCTGGGCGTGGTGACGAGTGCCTGTAGTTCCAGCTACTCAGGAAGCTAAGGTAGGAGGATCATTTGATCCAGGAGTTTGAGGTTGCTGTGAGCTAGGCTGATGCCATGGTGCTCTAGCCCGGGCAACAGAGCAAGATGCTGTCTAAAAAAAAAAGAAAAACCTTGAAATGGATACACAAAATGTGGTATATACACACAATGGAATATCGTTCGGCCTTTATAAAGAAGGAGATTCTGACACGTGCTACAGCATCGATGGACCTTGAGAAACATCCTAAGTGGAATAAGCCGGTCACAAAGGGTGACCCCTGAATGAGATACCCAGAGTAATCAAATTCATAGAGACAGAAAGTAGAATCGTGGCTGCCAGGGGCTGGGGGGTAGGGGACTGGGGAGTTATCGTTCCGTGGGCATAGAGTTTTAGTTTTGCAAGAGGGAAAAGTTCTGGAAGTGGAAGGTGGTGACGGCTGCACAACAGTGTGAATGCACTTAATGCCACTGAACTGTGTACTTCAAAATGGCTGAAATGGTATCTTTTATGTTATGCATATTCTACAATTAAAAACAGAGAACTCAATCAACTAGTTAAAAACAAAGATCTTGCCCATCTTGCTCTCCAGCTCATTTCTAACACCTGGCACATGCAGGCGGCAGGTGTCTGCCGAATGAACGGCTGAGACTGCTGCGAACCAACCGCACATCATCTCCACCCATCCCAGGGCTTATGTGATCGGAGTGACCTACGACAGCCACTTAATGCTGGTACCTACAAGACTGCCTTGCCTCCTCCCTCTCAGCCTCCTGTGAGTGTGGCCGTGAGGCTTGTTTGAGTCCCCATGGCCCAAGACCTGCCCTTCACAGTCCCAATCCTGGTAGGTCTGACCCTACCTCCCCTCCTGAACTGAACCACGTTTAGTCTTCAACAACAGTAGCTATTTCTGAAACACTGAGTTCAGTTCAAAGCATGAATATTTGACTGCACTGTGATTTTCAGGGACCAATCCACAGGACCCATGAGCCGTTCCCAGAGTTTGGAGACTAGGACGGCACCCCTGGAAGAAGGGGCTACTCCAGAGGAGACGCTGCACACTCAGCATAGCTGCTCAGAGCACCAGCCTGGGCGTGTTCACGCAGCTCTGCACCACTCTCATGGCAGGGACCAGGCCTCGAGCCTAAGTGCAGGAACTGTGTCTGATCCACCCTGCGCACCCCCGGCCCCGCTGGGGAGGGGACGGGGAGGCTGGTCAGTGAGGGTCTGGGTCAAGCTGCATTTTCTCTTTCAGTCTAGAGTACGAGCTTCTCCACAGCCAGAAGCCAGAGCCCGACATGATGGGGTGCCAGCCTGGACGTTCCATGGCCCCCCATGCCCATGCAGGTCCCCAGAACACCCGTGCTGTCCCCAAGCCACTCCCCACGAGGCCCAGGAACAAAGGGACTATCCTCACTTCCTGGACCAGGAGACAGGAGCCCTGGCAAAGAACTTACAAAGATAGACTGCTCCTTCAACCTCCTCTTGGCCTCTTCAGCTTCTAAAGTCTGCTGTTTCCTCCTGGAACAATAAATATAAGCAGCCAGCACCCCTGCAGGGTGGCCTGGGGACCCCAAGCCACCACGTGGGGGGGCTCACCTGTGCTCCTCAATCTGCTGTTCCCGCTCCCGGTAGCGCCGCTCACGCTCCTCCTGCTCCTGCCGCTCCTGCTCCATCCGCTCCTGCTCAAACCTCAGCCTCTCGTCCAGGGCCTTCTTCCGCTCCTCCTCCTTCCTCAGCTCTTCCTCCTTCTGCAGGCCACAGAGCAAGGCAGGCCCTGAGCCTGGGGGCCTAGTCTGACCCTCTGGCCCTCCCTAGCCCAGGGCTAAGGAGCCAGTTGTTTGAGGGGTCAGGGGAGAGCCGTGGGCACAAGGCCAAGAAGGCTTGCTCTGTCATGCTGTCCCAAGTGAGGGACTCAGGGCTTCCCCATGCGGCCTGGGAAGGGCAGCTCAGCCCAAAGCCCAGGCGCAGGGTCCCATACCTTGGCCTGTTCCCAGAACTGCTCACGGTTAATCCGCTTCATCTCTACAGCTGCGTCCGTCTTCTGGTAGGTGGTGCCCTGCAGAGTCAAATGAGCCGGCATGAGCACAGAGAGCAGGCCGAATGCCCTGGAAGCCCCCACGTGCAAAGGGTGAGCGCTAGGAAGGAGCCGGCAGGCCAGACTCAGGTGTCAGGACACGTGGGCAGGGCCGGCCAGCCCCAGGCACACACTGACCACGGGCTCGGCGTTCTCATCCTCTCGCAGCCGCAGCCGGTGCAGCACAGGGCTAGAGAGCCGCGCCAGCCCATTGGAGAGCCGCTGCCCAATGGCGCCTGCGTCGATGTCTTCCACGCTGCTGGCATTCACGATCACGTCGACACCCTTCCACAAGAAGGCAGTGTTCAGGCGGCATCACAGCTCCTTACCGTTACTGCCCTTCGCACTCACACCAGGCCCTGGGAGGCTGCGCCCAACAGCCCCCGGGGGAGCCCCGGCTCCATACACACCTGGAAGAACTCGGCCACCTTGGCCACATGGCTGGCACAAGCGCACTTACGGGCATCAGGCACGTCTTCACCCACCTGCAAAGTACCCAGCACAGAGGGGGTCAGGAAAGGATGTGAGGGCCCTGACATGCTGAGGTTCCAGGCCTCCGACTACCCTCCCCGGGGCCAGCGGGCTTCTCTCTCCACCGGTGTTAAAGGGCAGTGGCGGGTGGAGGGCGACAATTCTGGGCCTTCAGCTCCCTTCCCCAGCCCGAAGCTGCATACCCAGTTGATGAGCACGTATTTTGGTAGCGCAGCCTGGGAGTCCTTGACGCTGCAGAAGCCGTACATCACCTTCTGGTTCTCGAAGTGGCCCGAAAGCTCCTGCAAGCCCCCTTCTGGGGGAGTCAGGAAAGGGTCATGACTCTCCATCTCCTAAACCCTTACCCCAAAAAGTGCCTGGAACCCAAAGACTCCTCACGGGCTCTGCAGGCACACCCAGGGGTCTTCTGGCCTCTGAGATCCGGAGGTTGCAGAGTTCTCTGCTGGTACAGAGTGGGGGTAAGGGGCAGACAGTGTCTAGCTTTGCCTCAGAACCCTCCAGGGCCTGATTTGGGTAGCACTGGGGAAGTGCCTGTTCCTCACACATCCTTATGTCTCCTCTTCACACATCATCACATCTCACCAGGTGCTGGTGCCCAGCGGGGTAAAATAAATCCTCCCAGCTCTGGAGAAGGTGGTGCCAATCCAGGCCGGCCCTGCCAAGCCCCTTCCCTCTCAGCCGTGTGACTCCGGGCAAGTCACTTTCCTTTCTGAAGCTCAGTCTTCGCAGAAGTCAAATGTTAGACAAGGCTCCCTCCCTCCCCACTTGGGACCACAGGGATGCCTAGAAGAAGGAGGAAGGACACCCGCCAGACCAGTGTGGGTCTGCTGGATGCAGGCGGGAAGGTGGAGGGTGGCCCAGCCAGGAGGGTGGGGAAGAAAACCACCAGAAGAGGGGCAGAGAGGAAGGCGAGGGAGAGGCTGAAATTCTTACCTCCTGAGGCTGCAAGCTTGAGGTCATCTGAGCCATCCTCATATGTGTACAGAGCCCTGGGGAAGGGGGGTGTCTCATCAAACTGTCAGGGCCCAGGCCACCAATTTTGGGTGGGGATGGCTCTGGGGAGGAGGAGGGACACAGGGGGAGAGAAGAGAAGGGGGAGGGCTCCTGCTGCTCCCCTGACAACAGGGCCAGGCACCATTTCAAGTGAGAGCCAGTAGGGTGCATACTGGTAGCCCTGTGGGTGGCTGGGGCAAGTGGGAGCAGGGAATGAGAGGAGAAATTGCTGCTTGGTCGAGCTCAGCGCGTCCTGGCCCTGGCCCTGGCAGCCTACAACCCAGTGGAGCGGGTGTGTGATGAAGATTCCAAGGCGACGGTTCCTTGGTTACCGTTCCCTGGCTACCACGATCCTCATCCCCCATTGGCCGATGCCAGGAACCTACCTGGCACGTGCCTTGGTACCCACTGCACCTCCCCCTCCACCGGGAGGAAAGGGGAGGAGATAGAACCTGGTGCACCCACAGCTCTGGGCATCCCCCAGTAACCATAGCAACCTAGCAATTGGCACATGACTGGCCCACCCCTGCTGCATTCTCCTAGTACACAAAGGACCCCGGAAACCCGCCCTTAGCCTCAATCTCCGCCTCTCTGAAATGGGGATGAGGTCACTGCAAGTCACTCTGCCCAGACTCCAGCCCCAGGGCAGCCACGCTCTCCCGGCCTTCCAGCCCCTAGGCTGCCTCCACCGCGCAGAGGTCTCCTGGGACTGCCCCTTTCCTTCTGCCTTAGCTAAGCCAGAAAGCTGACCTAGCAGCCTTCCTCCTTCCTCCTCCTCCCCGGCTTTGTCTGGCCTGGCTCCTTGGCCCGCCATGAGGGGAGTGCAGAGACGCCTCCCACCTGGATGCAGGCAGGGCTGAGGACCCACTGGGAGAGAAGAAGGGATCTGCCACCTGGGAAGGGCCTTGTCCCTGAGGTTCAGAAGGGCTCAGACCCTTCTCCAAACTATTCCCCAGTTCCAAGGCAGGAGGCTGTGAGGAGGGGAGACAGCAGAGGAGGGCAATGGACAAGAGAAGCAGGGAGAGGAGGCAGAGAGGAAGGTAAGAGAAAGGAAAGAAGAGAAGGAAGAGGAAATGAAGGAGGAGGTGGGGGAGGGGAGGAGGAGGATGTCTGGCCCCAGCCCCAGAAGGTTACTGCCAGGACAATATGGCCCCCAGCCACACCCTGTCCCAAACTCCCACCCCACCTCCAGAAAAGGACACAGGTGGGCTGTGGGGCTAGGAGCTCCTGATCCAACTGCTGCCCCTGCCCCAGCCCAGCCCGACAGCTGCTTCCCAGCACAGCTGTCCCACCACCTGTCTGGCTGCCCTAACCCACCCCTGGGAACAAAGGGCCCTCAGAGAAGCAGGGTCTGCCCCTCTCCTTTCACAGATGGGAAACTGAGGCAGAGCCCAGGGATCCTGGTTCCCAGGAACTGCTATCGACATTACCCCAATTTGGGACGACTTGTCTTTGCCTTGCCCAGGCTCTAGAAGCCCCTTCCATCCTCAGTCCCCGCCTACCCATCTCTTGCCACCTCTTCCTGCTCCGGCCACAGCCCTTCCCCAACAGAAACCATACCTCAGTTCAAACCCTTCAGCAGCCCACCTCCCTCAGCTCCACCCCAGCCTGCCTTTCCATCAGAACTCTGCATCCACGTCACACACTTGGGCCACCCTGGATGGCTCCCCATCCCGAGCCCGGTGCTGGGGGGGTCCCGCCCGGGACCCTTTGCCTGTGGTTCTTTCACACGGAAGGCTGGATCTGCTTCTCTGCCCCACTCCTGCCCCTGACTGAATCCTTCCATCCTTCAGGACCCAGTGCCAGCTCCCCCAGCAGTGTCCCCCGAGCTGCACCTCCCCACGGCACCCACCACACCCCACGGGGATGTGAGACCAGTACTTCTCAAACACACCAGAGGCACCCTGGGCCTGGCAGTGAATCTGCTGGGCATCCTCTGGGCATCCAGGGGGTAGGGAGGCAGGACCAGGAATCTACACATCTCTCCAGCTCCAACCCCTGGGGACAGATACTGCCCCAGACTGGCAGCTTCGTGAAGGCAGGAATTCTGACTGGGTCAATGAACACACACTGCTCTCTGGGTCCCAGGGCCCAGCACAGAGCAGCACCAGTAGGTGTTTGTGATATTGACACAAACTCTTAGAAACCATCTAGGCCAGAGAAACTGGACTAGGCTGAGGTGGGAGCTGGCCTGCAGCAGTTCCAGGGAGATCCTGGGGTCGGCTGTGGGTGGGGGCTGAGAACAGGTAGACCCCTCAGGACAATCCCACCCACAGGATGTCAGAGCTGGAAGGCCGTGGGTATCCTAGACATGGTTGAGTCCAATCTCCTCTTCTTCCCAAGAGGACCAGAGAAGACCAGAGACTTGTTTGTGGTCACACAGTGAATAATATCACAATGAAGGCAACAGTGCCCTTTGTCATTGTCACTGCACAACCTGACTTCCTGGGTCCCCTGCTCCCAGTGCCAGGGCAGAGGTTCATTTCAGAGACCCTGCCACCCAGGAGTGAGTCCCCCCAATCACCCCCTCCCTGATTAAAGGCAAGGTAAGGGAGGGCAGCCAGCAATTGTACCCAAGCCACCCCTTCCTCTGGGCAGACCCTAAGTGCAGGGTCTACCCTTGAGTCTCAAGACCTCAGCGCACCCCTGGTTCTGTGCTGGGCGCTGGGGGCACTCAGGCCCCTTCTGCACGATGTGGTCCTCACGGCCTTCTTCCAAAACGCGATCTGGGCCTTTGGGAGCGAGCAACTGTGCCATGTGCGGGGTGCATGTGTGCGTCTGCGTGTGTCCCACACACAACCCAGATGGGGGTGACGCATGCCGGTGATGAATAACTTGCTTTGGCCACATGGATGATGCTGGGTGGTGGGAGCCCAGGCCTCTGCTGAGCAGAATGTGGGGCAGCAGTGGTGTCTGGCCTTGGCGCTAGGCTGCCAGAGGTCTGCTTTTGGGGGGTTAGGTGAAAATGGGGTGGTGGTAGACAACACCCCCCAACATAGAGGTTGAGGAAGGTGTTCTGGGGTGAGTTGTGCCTCTCCCCAGGCAGGGCCATATCCCAAGGCCAGCTCTTCCATTGGCCAAGCCGGCCACTTGCCCAGAACTCCTCCCATGATCTCAGCACCCCAGGGAGAGGGCTGGGACAACGGGTGGGCCGCCTGCCTGCTTAGCCTGTGCTGGCCTCTCCTGTGGCTGACCTGCAGGACACCAGAGCTCGTCTCCCGGGTCCATCCTTCCAGGCTGGCTGCCCGCCAGTGCTGCAGTACCATGGCATGGATGCCTGGCTATCTTGTCCCCTTCTCCAGCCCCCAGGTCAGTGTCCCTACCTCGCTGCCCTCCCAGTGTGAGGGTGAGGCCAGCGCAAGTGGGGTCCCTCAGACCTGCCCTTACTCTGTGCCTCGGTTTCCTCCAGGACAAGAGCCTATTTCCTGTTTGCCTGCCTTCCAGGGGAGGAGAGGCCTAGGAACAGAATGGGCAGCTGCTCCATAAGAAAAGTATTTTGGGGGAATGATGATTCCAGGATGGGGCACTGTGGAATCCCTTGGTTTTCTTTCCTGCCACACCAGGGGCTCCAGCCCCAGAGCAGGAAGTCTGTATCCTCCCCCACGCAGGGGGAGACCACAGCTGGGGAGGGAGGTGAGGGGCAGTCCAGCTCCACCCCGTCAGGGACCCAGTAACCTTTGCTAGGAACCCAAGGGATCTACTCACCCCCCTCATCCCTCTTTGGGGGCTCCCTCAGCTTGTTCTCCATAAGGCTTTCTCCCAGGGACCTCGGCTGGCCCCCTAGACAAGCAGCTCAGTCCCCTCGGTATCCCGCAGCCCAGATGCCCAGTCGCTGCCGTCCCCTTCAGGTCGGGGAGAGGAGGGCTCATCCCTGCCTCCTCAGCAACCCGGGAGAGGTATGGGAGTCACTTTGCAGTCGCCATGTGGCAGTGAGCAGCCTTCCATCACACTCCAGTCCGGGGGGGGGGGGGGGGCGGAGGAGAAGGCCAACTCCGAGAGGTCCCCAGTGGGCGGGGCGCCCCGGCCCCCAGCCCGCTCCGCTCCTCCCCCGCCCTAGCTTTCCTTTGTGCGGCGGCCGGGCCCGGCCAAGCCAGGCAGGCTGCGCTGGCTTCGCTAGCTCGGTGGCCACCCGGACCCCGTCCGGTCCTCACACGCTGGAAGGTGGCGAAGGTGCCCTTGGCCGCCCTGTGCACACCTGTCCCCTGGGCCCGGGGGAGGAGGGAGGCGGTGAGAGTGGGGGATGGGCTCCCGCAGGGGCACGCGGCCCCCGGCCACACATCTGGAACCCGCGTCTTTCTGGCCTGCGTCCTGCCGCCCGCTCCCACCGCGCGCCTGGGGCGTCTCGGGGCGCCTGGGGCCCGGCAGTGCCCCGCCCGGCCGGCCCGGCCCCTCCCCTCCCCCGGCGCGCACAAAGGCAGCCCCTCCCCGGAGGGCCCGCAGCAGCATTTCGGGGTCTCCTCCCCCCTCCCCGCGGCGGGGCCGGATGCAAACAAAGGCGCGGCGGCCGCGGCGGGGACAAAGGGGCTGGGGGCGGGGGCGGGGGGCTCACCAGTCGGCCGCGCTCTCCTCCCGAATCACCTCCTCGTACGCCGCCAGCAGCTCCAGGCGGTGGCCGCTGAAGCTGACGCCGGCCATGCTTCGGGCCGGACCGAGGCCGAACGGACAGATGCACGGACGGACGGACGGACCGAGGAGGAGGAAGGGAAAGAGGGAGTCGCCGCCGCCGCCTCTGAGCCTCTGCAGCGCTGCGAGCCGCGCGAGCCAGGGCCGGGGGAGGGGAGCCGGCCGGCGGGGGGCGGGGGGCGCTGGCTCCGCCCGGCTCGCTCCCTCCCCGCTCGGTCCTAGCGCCGCCCGGGCCGGCCCAGGGGGAGGCCCGGCCCCCCTTCCCGGCCTGCCCCGGGCGCCCAGGCCCCTCGCCCACGCGCCCTGCGCGCGGCGGCCGGGCGGAGCTGAGCTGCCCCTCTGCTTCCCAGGCCCGTGCCCCCCGCGTCCCAAACCCTCCTCTGCCCCGGCCCGTCCCTGGCTCCAACCTAGGCTCACCCTCTTCCCAGCCCCAAACCCAGCCCCACTCTGGTCCAGCCCCACCCATTGCCTCATTTACCTCCACCCCGACCTCACCGCCATCCCTGGTCCATCCCGATCCCTAACCCCAACCCAGTTCACATGCCAGCCCACTCCTGGCACGTCTGCAGCCCATCTCTGTCCCTGAAAGAAAGGTCCGATCCTGGTCCACCCATCACTGTCCACTGCCATCTGAATCCCAACCCCAAATCCATCCCAGTTCCTTTGCCGTCCCGGCTTTGGCCTCACTCCCAACCCCATGCTTAGCACGTGCTCTCCCCCATTCATCACCCCATCCCTGGCTGCACCCTCCTCCTGTCCTAGGCCGGGCCTGATCCAGTTGCTAACCACACTCCTGCATCCCTGCTCCATGGCCTTGTCATCTCAGGCCAGTCCCACTGCCCCACCAGCCTCCTGCACGCTCAAAACAGAAGTCCTAAGTGGACCCCTCCTCAAATTCCTGCCTCCCCACCAGCCACCTACAAACGCTCCAGCCCCTTGCCACCAATATTTTAAAATAAACTTTCTATTTTAGAATAGTTTTAGATTTACAGAAAAATTACAAAGATAGTATAGAGAGTTCCCATACATCCCACATCCAGTTTTCTCTGTTTTCAGGGAAGCAAGGGGGTTCCCCACTGATCTTCACTCCCTTCCCTCTTCTGCCATCGTCTTCATCCTGTCATTTCTACAGGATGTATATCAACATCTGTCGCCTGTGATCTGTCTCCTCCTACCCCCATTTTCCCTGGCACTGCTCTGGCCAAGATCACCAGGGATCGCTAAGTTGCCAAATTCAGTGGACCCGTAGTTCTCAGTTACCTTGACTGGTGGGAGTGGGTGGCCACTGGTCATTCTGTCCTCTGAGAGCCTGCCTCCTGTCAGCCACTGGCTGCCCCAGAAACCCATACATACACCCAGCCTCCTTGGTAGGCAGGTGACTTGTAGGTGCCTCCCACCATGCCTTCATGTCTGCCACCCCCCAGGATTGATCACCCTTCAAGTTACTGACATGGCTCTCCCCACACACTGGGAGGCTGGGATCCCACACACTGGGATCCAGTGGCTTCTGGATCCCCTGAGTAGGAAAGATGAGAACAAGGGAGGATGCAGATGCAGAAACTGATCCCTTGCTCTGTGACCTTGGCTAAAATGCTTCCCCTCTCTGAGTTTCCTTTTGATAACCTGTTGTGAGGATAAAATGTGACTGGTTGGAGGCTTAGAAAGGAGAACCCCCCTTTCCTCCTCATGGCCCCACCCTCCTCCCTCTACCCCCACCTTCCTGTTCTTGCTCCCCCACACCTCTCAGGAAGCTTTCCAGGCTGAGGGGAGGCTGCAAGACTTTTCCAGCACCAGCTGATGGAGCCTTCTCTGGCCTCATCTTGCCTCTGCAAGATCCTGCCAAGCACAGCGCCAGCGTGCTCACAGCCCTGCCCAGGCATCTGCCCCGGTGCAGGCCAGACACTTGCGTTTACCACGTTAGTTCTGCTCCGAAAAGCCTGTTGCTGATGGTGTGGTCCCAGACGAGCTGCCTGACCCCTCCTGGACCACTCAACTGTAACATGGGGATGGCAGTGAGGGGACCTACCTCCTAGGGTCAGTTTAAGGATTTAAAAAAAGTATCTAGAAAGTGCTTAAAATGGTAACAGTACATAGTAGGTGCTGTCCATGTGTTGGTTGTTATTGCTGTTTTAAGATGGGAAACCTGAGGCTCAGAGAGGGGTGGTGACTTGCCCAAAGGTACACAGCTGGTGAGTGGCAAAGTCTTGATGGGAACCCATGTCTGTCCCATGTCACTTCAGTATACCACACACCCTCCCCACTGCCCCCCAGCACCCCTATTTCCACACCCAGGGGCCAGGCTGGCCTGGAGTCTGGTTGGGAAAATTTCCTGAGGCTCCAGCTGTGAGGTCCAGGAGGGGAGCAGGGCTGGGACCCTGGGCACAAGGGAGGAAGTGCAGGGGCCATTCCTGGTCAGGCCTGCTCAGCCTTGCCCCTGTCTTCTGGTGAACTTCTCACTGTTGGCTCCAGATGGGGCATGTGACTCAGGCCTGGTTGGGTCTGACCCAGTGAGTACTTCAGGGATGGACTTGTGACCCAAGTCAGTCCAATGGGTGTTGGCCCGGGGACTTTTGCTGAAACTATTAAGAAAGGCTCTCTCTATCTACTGAGGTTGCTGAGCTGGCAGGGTGAGGGCCCGGCCCTGGTGGGGAGCATCCCTGCCAATAATGGGGACAGCCTCCTGAGAGGAAAGCCAGCACCGAGGAAGGCAGGGCTGAGAGATGGAGAGAGAACGAGAGATTCCCAGTAACACCCATGGGTGCCTGGATCCAGCCGGGTCTGGAGCCAGTAACTTTCTCAGTCAAATTAACTCTTTTTGCTTGAACCAACCTGAATTGCAGCTGAAAGAGTCCTTCCTAATCTACCTGGTCCCCAAGTAGTGGTCAGTTTTGCCAGTGACAAGGGACATGGGTGAAACCTGAGTTGATCTTCCAGCGCCTGGACCCCGCGCAGGAGGACCCAGTCTGGTCCCGGGGTCCTTGCTGACCACCAGGCAGTGACTCTCCCTGCACAGTCTCCCAAGCAGCTGGCCCTGGCCTCCCGGCTGCTCCCCAGGCTCTCAGTCAGCAAGCTGACCCCATGGCCCCCGGAGCCCTGGCCCCCTGCCCTCCTCCCTTTAGGCCCCAACTGAGGAGGGGCCCGTCCTTCCCTCTTGGGGTGTGCTTTGCATTCAGGCCTAGTCAAGTTTGAATCCCAACCGTCCCCACTCCCTGGGTGACCTGTGGCCAGCTCTCTAGCCCATCAGCTCCTTCCTGCAGCAGGGCTGCTAGGAGAGTTCCGGAATTGTGTGTGTACCTTCTGTGTGTACCAAGTCCATGTGGGGCCAGCACTGCGGAGGCAGCAACAGAATCATCAGTTCCTTCCTGGGTACTCCGGCGAAACAGTTCCTCGCCCTCCACTGCCTCTCTCCCTGCTGACTCCAAACGAGCTCAAGTCGCTCCTGAGCTGGGAAAGGCCTCCCCCCTCTCCCAGGCCTGCTGCCTCTGCACTTGCCCACTCAGCCCCCTGCCATGGGATCTGCCCCCTCGGCCGGGAGCCTGCACTCCCCAAGGGTGCTAATGGCCTCCCCTGCCTGGCACGAGGACATTCATTTCCCAGTCCCCACGGCCTCCACCCACACAGCCTTGCACCCCAGCTTTGGAACACTGTGATCCCTGCAGCTCTGTGATGTGGGTACACAGGTTGCCTTGGTCTTGGATCCTTGGAGCAGCAGCCCCAGGCCATTCCAGCTGGGTAGTTCTGGACAGGTCACTTGTCCTCTCTGAGCCTCAGTTCCCTCATCTGAAACACTGTTGCTTTCGGTAAAATCTCTCCTAAATGTGTTCTGATGATTTAATGACATTTAAGTGATTTATGTGTCTAGCATCCAGAGTGAGGCGGCCTTCAGAGAAGGTGCCTAATGCTTGCTTTGACTTCCGTCAGGCCAGCTCCTTGCACCCAGGATCCAGCCCCTGCTCTCTGCTCCTCTCCCTCCTCTCTCCTTCCCCACTCCCAGCCACCATCCCTGGTAGACACTTCCCAGCTCACTCTCCCCTCCCACATCCTGGCCTCTCAGCTAACCTTGGCCGTCCTCTTGGCCCACCCCAGCCAAGCCTCTTAAAAGAGCTGTCTGCGCTCTCTCCTTCCACATCCTCACCACCTTCCCCCTCGTTCCTCCTTAACCCTGGCAGCTGCCCCAGCTCACCGCTAAACTGATCTGGCAAATGTCACCTTGTTGGAAAATGCCAAGGGGACTCCTTCGCCTTATCTGCCTGGTTGACACACTGGCAGCATCTTGAACCGCTCTAGCCCTGCCCTGGCCCGCCTGCCCCAGAGCTCCCGGAGGAGGCCGTCATCCTCATCTCTGCCCAGTGCGGTGATGCTGGTGCTCCCGCTCTCGTCTCTTCCCTGCGCTGAGGCCCTGCTGTCGTCATGCTGGATTTGATTCATATTTATTATTTTTTAATAGGATTTAAAAAATCGAATATAGTTGCCAATATTAAAAAACCAGATCTCACGTAAAAATCTGGGCCTCTAGATGCTGTCGATAAACCAGCAGATGTGGCCACAGTTAGGCATTGTCAGGGGCAGCCCTTGGCGCAGGCTGAGGGGTGGCTGCCCCCAGATGGGCTTCCCACAGCCGCTGTCATCCCCCTGTGTTCTTGCTCGCTTGTATCCATGGAAACCGAGCACGGACTGAGAGGGCTTCATGGTTCAAGACAAGTGGGAGAGAGTACATTTCCTTGTGGAAGTGAAAGATACTCTATGTTTAACATGCCAAGGATGTCCAGGTCGAAAGAAAACCGCATCCCACCTGCTTTACTGCTGACGTTACCTGCGTGGGCCCCACTGCCCGGCTCTCCCTGGGCATTAATTACGAGCCTCGATGTTGACAGCCCCGAACCTGTCCCAAGTTCATTCCCAAATTGAATCTGAGGTGAATCCAGACTTGAATCTTGAGCTGCTTCCTGATTTTGTCTCCTAAATGTCCCACAGGCACCTCATTCAGTCATTCAACACACATTTATACGGGACCCACTGCACGGCAGCACCAGTTCTAGGCTCTGCAAGGCATCCTGAAAATGACACACCGAGCTCTGCGTGCATTCTCCAGGGGGCCGAGAGAGACCACAACAGAGAAGCCCTTCTCCCCTCTTATAGGGGATTGGCCAAAGGACCTGTTGGAGGTCTCAGGCCAGG